TGCGAAAAGTTTGTGCTTGAGAAAGACGACTTGGGAGTGCAGCGCGCCAGCACGTAAAAGTGTGCCATAAATAGGTTTACGGTAGGGCAACTCAAGCTGTATCCCGTCCCTGACCGCACCAATTCAATATGTAATTCTGTAACACAACAGTCGAGATAATGAGTTGCAGTTCCTATCGCTGATACAAATCGTTCTTCAAGGCGCCATAGTACTGGTTAAACGACGTTGTCAAGGAAGCATTGGCATGCGCCCTTGGCGACGTCCACCTATTTCGGTACAACTTGCTAGAGAGGGTCCTGGGCTCAGGGACACACATTAATTGCCCATCTGAAATGAAGCGTGTGCCCTGATTTATCCCACAGAACTGCAGTAAGCCATAAATTGCAAGTAGTTTCGACGAAAAAAACAGGTACAAAGAGTGTTACAGTTTGTGGTTTTCATATATGCCAAGAAGCGCAATGCAAAAATGTCCTTTGCCATTTGTATCTGCCAATCAGCGGTTACGTTTATTGGTTCATGAAGTATTCAGCGGCGGAGATTCGGCGGCGAGTATCAAACGTCCCTCGCCAATGGAAGTGCGAACACGCTCGTCAGTGCAGGGTCAATGTGCGTGGCGCTTTTGATATCGTTCAACGAAATGCTTCACCATTGTATGTTATTCAGCTCAAGTGGATGCAAAAAAGATCAGATCAGGTCAAGTCAAGTCAAGTCAAGTATCAGGTCAAGAAGATACCCTTTCCAGCCCTCCTCATGATAGCTGGCGTTGGGTAAAACAAACGCTTTCCTAGCGTTTATTTGCGGTAATTTTCATGGCATCAACTCGAAAACTTTGGGCTCTAGAGCCTCATTAGTAGAGTCAATTTCTATTCATTCCTACCAAATACCGATGCCTTTTGCGGTTGGGACGTTCTCAAAATACTCCTCATGAAGACGAGAACTATGTCACGAGACCAGATAACGTGGCTGTCATTGTGCGATATCAGTGGGGTTGCATTTTTTTCTGCGGCCTTGTTCTTTTGCTTTATAATTGAATTGGTGGGTCTGGATAAAGCAAGCCATATTTAAGGCTATGCAAGGTTACTCGAGGCCAAAAGAAGTTACCCGATTTGGCATAAACCTTCGCCCTGATAGGGGGGACGCGCCCCTTAGGGCGTTTTGAAGATACCTCTCCGGTATGTTGTGCAATTGGGCCCGAACTTTCAGCAGTCTATCTATCGACATCCACTACGCGTGTTTTGACACCAAAAAAGTCTTGCTAGCTTTTCTGATTAAGGTTACTCGAGGTAAAAGAATACCTGATCTGGCATAAACCCTTGCCCTGACAGGGGGCGGGGGTAGTATATGTGTGAGTGATGCGACCCTCCTTAGTTTTCCGAAAAATGCCTCTCAGACATGTTATACAGTCTGACTCAAATGCTCAATATTCTATGGGGCATTCACTGAGCGTGTTTTGACGCCAAAAACGTGTTTCCAGCGTTTCTTCTTTCGGAGAAGCCGTTGTTTTTTAGGAACACTGCACGGCGATCCACGGCCGGTGCGGGCGGCAGGCGGCAACCGACGAAAACGTGGAACGCGCGCGGCGGGCCGACATCGTTACATTAACGGAGAAGTATACCATAAAGACATGATCAAAATACATAAAATATCCAACACTGTACTCAGCATTAAACAAAACGAAAAAACACGCCTGTGTATGTTTTGTGTCGCCACCAGGCATGCTCTCGTATGTATGATGTTGTAAAGCTGAAGGGATGCGATTTCCGGAAAATTTCACCTTTGACCTGGCATAATGGACCATGTATTCATCTAACAACATAAAACTAAAGCAATCGCAAAATCTCCTTGAGAGTGATCCACTGGTCTTTGCGCTCTGCACTATCTTCATTAGCTTGGAAACGCCTGGTTGGCAAGGGGGGGGGGGGGCGCATCAACATGTCTAACGATCCACGTTATAAAAACGGCGAATCGAGGGGGGGGGGGTGGAGCATCGAATAGTTTTGACAAATTCCAGGCGCTGGAACTCAGCTGGCATCACTGCTTACGGTTTCGCAGGTCGAATTTGGTTACGCAAGCGATGTAAGGTATTTTAGGTTGTACAGTAAAATCTAAGATTGGAAGTTACTCGCTGGTTCTGGAAGCCTTGCTAGGCTTTAATGTGTCTGATAGGAAAGGCGGTGCTTAGGAGTTTTTGAAGCTGATCATGGACCAGCCTTCCGGCGTTTATAGAAAATAAAGACTAACCCAGTGGCGGATCCAGGAATTCGACCCGGGGACGGGCACGCCACGTGGTGAAGACCCGGAGTCCGGGCTCATTCTGGACATGCATCGGGGGAGGGGGGGGGGGGGGGGCGTTCATTTTCTCCAGACCATATGAGGTGCCCAATACCGTTGTCGTGGGCCCCAATGCGATATAGAGTGCCCGGGAAGATTAACAAAAAGGGACCTGAGAAGAGTGAATGGTTCTGCGCAACTGAGATAAAACGAGAAGAGCCCTAGACAAGCGCAGAGGGCCCTGAGCACCGAATGCCTTGGTGCGTGAACTGCTATGGGACCCAGGAACAGCGCAGGGCTCTCCACGCCAGTGAAAAGAGCCCGAGATCAACGTGAAGGGTCGCTGAGCATGGAGTGCCTTGGTGCGTAAACTGCGATGGGCTCCAGCAACAGCGCAGGGCTCTCCACATAAGTGAAAAGAGCCCGCGATCAACATGAAGGGTCGCCGAGCAGCCGGGAGTGCCGCGGCAGGTTATCAAGTTACCATAGCGGGCCCAGGACAATAACATGTAGAACTTTTCGTGCAAATCAGAAAAATCTGTGAACGGTCCCTGGATCAAGAGTGTCGCGTTATGTTGCCAGATATGGCCAGACAGCAGCATAGAGCCCTCTGAGCAAATGCAAGGAAATCAAGGGAAGACAACGTTGATGGATTTTAGTGATTGGACTGACTTGATCAGCCTTAAATCTCTCCAATCACCAACCTCTCAATCAGCGAAGACTTATTGTTTTCTGCTCGTAAGCCATTCACTACCGCATGCGACTGTACTTGGTCGCCTGGAGGCTCAGAGCCGTTCAATTTCGTCACGTTTTGTGTTTAAAAAGCTGCGTCTGTTCCGCCGGTTACTGGACATTCAGGGCCCATGGCGGCTTCGGAGCCCAATGAGGGAGGAGGGAGGTGATGGTCTTGTAGCACCCCGTGCATCCACCAATGCATCAACGAAACAATCTCTATCAAAATAAAACGAAAAATCTAAGTGAAATTCCATAACGTACGGCATGTCTGGTCGTGCGAAAGGCACGTGATTTGCTGTGCAACGCAATGGAACAATTGAGTTGTGCTGACCCGCCCACCTAGTCCAGCCTCAAGTGACGCCGGGTCAGCATCGCGAATGTTGGCCATGCTAGCACGCAAAAACTGCTGGTATCCACACTGGCATGCTCTATGACACCAAAACAGGTGAGCATGTTCTGTTCAGAGTGTCACCCCAAACCAGGCCATGACCGCTGGCGATGTAGCAGAGTATGTCGGTGGCGACGTCGGTGGCGACGTCGGTGGTGACGTAGTGACAGATTAGAGTATGTTTTTTGCAACCTAAAGAGGTTTTGGAAGGCTCTTTTTCAAGCTGAAGAGATTGAAGCTATCCGTGGATTAACAAAATTCAAGTCAAGGAGGCCCCCTTAACTGAGCTAGAGAGGAATTGATCGGACTCAGAAGACACTTGTCTACATGGAAGGGCCGGTTTCTGGATCACGAGGCCACCTCTACGAATAAGGTAGCCCATGCTCTAGATAAGTAGGCCTAGTGTTGTGTTAGAGAGGCCCTTTGTTGGCTCGGGACACCATTACGAACTTGGAGGCCCTTGTTTTGGATGAGGAGGCACCCTCTCTATTTAGGGGGCAGCGATCTGGAGCAAAAGGTCCCTTTCATGCATCAGATGGGCGTGGTTCCAGATCAGGACGCCCTGTTTTATAGCAAGGCCCTTTGGCTCGTTTGGAGGCCCCTTTGTTAACTGGAAGCACCTTGTCCTAGATTATTGTATTGTTGTGATATGCTAGATTATATTGATATTATTGTTCTAGTGGCTCCCTTTGGAACAGGATACCCTTTTCTGGAACAGGAGGCCCTATACGGAAAGTCCCATTCTGTTTTTTTTTTATAAATTGTCCGCAGTTAGTTACTGGAATATAATGCATGTGCCAGCTTGATAAAGAGGAAAATGCCCTCGGCGCTGCTGACCCGTAGGTGCGACACCACCCAGGAGGTCCTCCTGTTAGAAGGCCTCATTTTTTCGGCAGCCCACTGGAAAATTATGCCTCCCAAAACTCAAAATTCATTGCGGCGCCCTTGGCCATTATAGACACTTAAAAGTGAAGGCAGATGACGTAACATGACGCCTTTTCAACACACAGCATGCTACATGAATGGAGAGAATTCAGACCAAGTGATCGAGGAAAACTTCAGAATTTGGAGAGGGTTCAGTTTAAAAATAACAAACGGAAAAGTGGCGGTGAAGAAGACTAGGACATACATCTGACTTCTGAAGCCATTTGATTGTTAAGTCATTGAAATGCGTCAACTATGAACTTGGTTTAATCTACCACAATTACCGGAAGTGGTGGTACTTCGAACTTCCTAGACTATGGCCCACTTCACACCGTCACATGTCAGTAACCTAATGAGGAAAAACAACAAGCAGTTAGCGAAGCATCTAAATGACGATCAAGAGGAAACTTAAAGTTTCGTGGATCCACCGCTCTATTTGTCCGAACAACGGAGGAGTGCCGGGAGCCGCCGGCTGGATGTGGGTGAACGACCACGTCCACGACCGACGCCATTTCGTCACCGGCACCCCAGCTCCCAGCAGCTCGTCAGCTGCCATCCCGCGGGAGCTGCCGGCTGGGTGTGGGTGAACGACCACGTCCACGACCGACGCCATTTCGTCACCGACACCCCAGCCCCAGCAGCTCGTCAGCTGCCATCCCCCGGGGGCCGCCGGCGCCGTTACCTGAAAGTACTGCTGGTTGTCGTCGTCGACCCAGCCGATGACGATGTCGGCGCCGGCCATGGTGCCGGTGGGGCTGAGGCCGAGCCCCAGCCAGCCGTCAGTCCTCGCGCTGACCTCGAACATGATGACCCGCTTGCCGACGTCGGCCGTCCAGGAGAGCAGCGCCGCGTCGCCCAGCGCCGCCGTCGCCTGCCAGCCGGCAGCGGCCAGCGCCCGCAGCGCCAGCACCAGCGCCAGCAGCATGGCGGTGGCAGGTGAGCGCCTCAGCGACGCGGCTGGGACATGGCGGCAGCCGCGGCGGGCCTCGCGCCGAGACTGTGCCCGCGGCGGCGGCGGCGGCGGCGGCGGAGGCGGCGCGCGCGGTCACAGATCCATCAGACGGCCAGCGAGCGGCGCGTGGACGGCGCGACGCGGAGAGGGGAGTGGCTGGGCTGTCGGGGAATATGAATGCCGGCAAGTCTGTGTGGTGATCTGGTGGATGCAATGTGATAATGAACAGTCTTCTATAGCAATGCTAATCGTCCCTCACGTTCATCAGGTGCTCTCGGTGATCAGGAGCACGCGCTTATTTGCATTGCATGCGTTTTGCCGCGGTTTGGTTATGTGCATCGGAAGCCAGAAAGCATGCAACCTAAACGTGCCATATAGCGGACTATTCATGAGTTCAGCCGGCAATGTAGCTGAACAATCGGTACTAATAGTCTAAACTGTAATACTTGCATTCATACTTATGCCACTCATAATTGGGTGAAAAAGGTCTGAGGAAAGTCTAGATAGCCCACAACCTAGCTATCAAATTGCAACACCTACTACGATGTTCGGTTTGAGACCCACAGTTTGAGAACCACAGCATTACTTGACCATGTTGGTAAACAGTTTAGCGCACAAACCTGTCAGAGGCATTCACACCGCGAATCTGCAGGCTCTACAGCCTCTGAGCTTTCGCAACCGTGATATGAATGGCTGAGACATTTCGCAGCTCGAAACTAAACGCGATTCTGTGGGGAGCAGAATGACGGAGAGGGTGAGCAGGGGGAGGGAGGCACTCCTTAGGTAAATCCTGGGCAGTTGGCCAGAGTTACCTACCTAGGATGGAGTGCCCCCTCGGCTGATAATATCTCCACAACAGCAAGGGGAGATGTTGAGATGAATGGGCGGGGAGAGAGGAGATGGGAGGCAAAAAGAAGGGAGATAAGAGTGCGAATGTGAGCAGGAGCTGTATAATACTTGAATTAGCGCGTCAGTGACCAAGTGGTCAACGATGCGTAAGTAGACTCATTGGGGGTGTGATATAATGAACACATAACACAAGGACGACAGAAAATAAAAGATATTGAAAGAAACGGGACATGCAATGACCGGGTGTTAGCGCGGTAATGAGGAATTTAATGTTGGTGTGATGCGGGTAATTGATAGTGAAGGTGGGCAAATGAAATGTAACGATAGTTTAAGCTTACCTTTTTCTTTTTTAACCTTAACATGTTGTGGTGACAGCTAAATCGTGGAACTGGTTTTCTGGCTATTCAATCTTTCGTTAAGTGTAACTTTGGCTAAACAACTGAGAATAACTTAAAGGGAGTGGTCTACATTTGTATGGGGTTTTGAGATGAAATAGCCGTATCGAAAGTTATGCTGTGCAGCACACAGCCGTGCTCTTCTTATGACCTAACCCTGTCTAGCTTGTGCGCTGCACGCCCGCGAAGATGTGCAGACTACTAAGAGGAGACTATTAACCATGGCGTCATGATAGCGTGATTTAAGTGCTGGCATTCCATTAGCGATGCGGCATCAACGCCAACGAAAATATAATTGTCGAGTAGCCTCATATCTGGCGTTTGTGAGCACGATTTTCAGATATAACGGCCTTCGATTGGCTCTTAGCCAATAGTGTGCAAGGTACAATGATATAATCAAGCAATGACGTGCTGAAGAGCACATATACTACACAGATGATCATTTTTTGTCTAAGGCAGACTTTTCCACTTTAAGTATACCAGCAATGAAAAATGAGCTTATTTCATCACACATGATGTTTGTTTCCATATCTTCAAATGTGGAACACTTCTTTATTTTTTACAACATTTTTATGTATTTATTTGTTAACATTTACAACATATTCATTACAACAACATACAAAAACACAGAACATTTTCTTTAACGTGTCTATAGTGATCATATGATTACAACGAAACAAACAAGAAAATCCAAGTTCATTTTATTCACGAATCATCCCGACGGGTGGCTTATTATTTGATTCGGTACAAGCACAAAGATGGTATGAAAGCAATATTAAAAATGGCAACAACGCGACCAGATTCGACAATATCAATCATCCCACCGTTCGCACAACTTCTTCAAACCATAATCAGTCATCATCCAATTATTTTACACAACGGCAAGCAAGCCATGTTACACGACGGTACCGTCTATATCGTGCAGTGTGATAGTGAGCCCTTTGCAGGTGCGAGAGACAGCAACGGATCCAGATTCAGATCTGCCTGGACAGTGGCGTTGGTCAAGGCACATCCAAGCGGCCGTGGACCCGCCCCTTAGGAATCGGCCAACTTCTTCTTTGTCTTCTGTGGGTGCCTGACCCCGCAGGGTCGCCCATCCGTGACGTCATCATCCATGACGAATTCGTCGTCGTGGCGTCGCGGGACCGAGCGCCGGCGATCGTTGGCAAACCCTCTCCGATGGTCAGCACGCTCTTCTGCTTTGACTGGACGTGCGCTGGACGTCAGCGAGCCGCCGGCGTGCCTCGCCCATCACTTGCGTTGGAGGCCAGATGTCAGGCGATCCCGAAGGCACAGTCAACGAGCCACAGTCGTGTGAACACTTCCTCCGCGTTATGATGGTGCGGCGCCAGCTACACGATCTGGCGGCTTTTTGCTGCCCGCTGTGCAGACTTGTGTTCGACTCGAGCTGAATAATGCGTCGGTTCACGAATCAATCGCTTTGTGGCGAGTCGCGAGCTGAGCCGGCTCGCTAGGAAAAACGCCACTTTGTGTGATGAGCTAAATCACTCTCTTTGTAGCTTTCACGAACTGAAATGGGGACCGATCATTTCTAAACAATGTCGTGTCAGTGAGTTATCACGCTGAAATGGATATGGTAACCTGAGGAAACACAGCACGCTCCAGACGAATTACCAGACCATTTCATAGTGTTAAAATGAATAGCTTTCAACGCTGTCAACTCGTACGTTTAGAAAGATACTACGGAACTCTGCATCGCATGTACCATTACGTCTGCTGAGATAAAACACTTCGATGATGACCATACATACACTGGGTCAACACAGTCTCCTCCCGAAAACCCCACAGACCAAACACTGCACTCGAAACGAACCATTCGCGGTTCGTGGCTGAGTCCGAAACGGAGCGCAACCTTTCCTTATCTGCATCAATACCGCCGCGGCTGGTTGCCAGGGCACCTGCCCTACCAGTTTACCAGGTACAGCAGGCTGAGGCCTGCACAGGATGCTTTCCAGCGACACAGCCACAGTTACGACCACAACAAGAGCGGCAGAAATACAGCCAGAGGTGCTCCACGCGGCCGGCGCGTCGCCGCGGGTGACGACGGGCGCTGGCTCCTCGACCCAATCGGTGCCGGACATAAGCATCCCGCACACATCAGCGAAACGAAAGCTCGTGATCTTATCTCCCGTCATCTTATTATCACTGCAGCAGGGAAAGACAGCGTTAGACTGGTCACCATAGCGCCAGGTACACCAGGTCTTCTGCTGTGATGCCATGGTCAGACCTGCGGTGTGACACGTGCAGTGACAGCTCCGCACGCGCGGCGCACAGCCGACCCACCTTCGTAGCTGCCGGCGCCGGACCGGACAGAGGCAGTCCTGTTTTTCCCGTCTCACTCCACGTGTATTCAGCATTTCCCCATGGGCGATCGCTGAGCGTAAGGCACGTCCTCTTCGCCGATGGCCGCCTGGGCCCCACGGCAGCGCCGAGCTCTTCCTTCGCCACACAGCACCCCTTCGGCCAGGTGGTGACGACACCGCCTTCACTCTTAGAGTAGTGTCGCATCGCATGCGGCAGGAAGATGATCTCGTCGTCCACCTTGAAGACCGACTCCAGGGCCGGTCTTCAGTAAACCGTGCTTCGTCTCCGGTGACCTGTGGACAAGACGGAGTTTCTTAAGAAAGAAGGCGGAGATTTTTTGGGAGACTTCGTAAGCCAACCGCTTGGTAGCGCGATCAGACCAACATCGCTGACACTTCCCAGTGCATCCGAATCACTTCACCTGTCACCATGCGGAGGGTGACAGAACTGACGTTTGCCTTAAGCGCAAATAGGTGGCGGGTGTTCCAATCAAAATTTACCCGGACCAGTTCCCAAATTACTTCCCTGTTGCAGGTTACGGGCGGGCAGACATTCCAAAATGTACTGTAGGGAGTCGATATAAGACCTATCAAGCACAAATACGAAAAGTTTGCAAGTTTCGAAGTTACAACTTTTGCATTCTGGCTCGCAATCAGGACACATTAAGCGTGGTCATCAGCCAGATTATTAACACACACCAGCAGAGAGTCAATTAATGTTTGAATTCAGTAGCAACAAGGCAAACCCACAGCTGTGAAGAAATAACCACAGAATGTGAACGGGAGATAATCAGAGAGCTCATCATAAAACTACCTAAAAGGAGCAAGACATACGAAAGCCAGACTAAAACCCAGCGATGGCTAAGACGCTGCGAATTCATTATTGATCTGATTCATTTTGACGTCTACCTGAGCAAAAAATAACACGCTTTTGTGAAATTGCTTTACACTGATAGCATACAACACTTGCAAAGAGTCAAGAATTACCGTACTGCCATGTCAAGAAAGCAATTTCAGGCGAAAAATCTCATACACTGCCATTAAAACCTCATCTGACAAATCACTGCAATGCAATCTCTATAGTTTTGGCAAACGCTAGAAAGTTTCCGTGCAAAGATGACTGCGTAGGCGTCCAGCTAAAAATATTTTGTTTCCAAACGGGATCATGAGCCCATCTTCAAACATCGGCACTGTAAGTAGTAGCAGTGATTTAGCTACAGTGTTGCTACATCTGAACTTCGGCTAGAATTAAAGGTCAAAAGCTCAGCATAAGAACACATCCGAT